GTACTGACCAGCACTTCACATAGGTGACGCAGATTTGTAAACTGGCAAGCATGCATCGAACCAAGTGTGACCATACAATTATCACGGCTGCAGGAAAGATGACCTACACCGCGCGAAACCTGGTCGATAGCTGTCTGCATCACAGTTCCCCATGCCAAGCGAACAGGCAAACTCGGATGGGTAATACAGATGCAAGAACGTTGCACACCGAGTGCGACTACGATTTGTACTTGTTCGGGGTTGCTCACCGCGCTATAGGCGGGATCGAGAGGGATGCCAAATTGTGCCCAGGCGATTATCACGGATGAAGGATAAGCGACCTATTCCGGGAGAAAACTGGTCGAGAGCTGTTTCTGCATCACAGGTCCCCATGCCAAGCAACAGAGCATCCTCGGATGGGTAATACAGATGCACGCACTGGCTTACAAAAAGGTGACGCAGAGTTGTAAAGTAGCAAGCATGCATCGAACCAAGTGTGACCAGACAATTATCACGGCTGCAGGCGAGATGACCTACACCGCGCGAAACCTGGTCGGTAGCTGTCTGCATCACAGGTCCCCATGCCAAGCGATCAGGCAAACTCGGATGGGTAATACAGATGCAATAACGTTGCACACCGAGTGTGCCCACGATCTGTACTTATTCGGGGCTTGCTCACCACGCTATAGACGGGATCGAGAGGGACGCCAAACTTTGGCCAGGCGATTATCACGGATGAAGGATAAGCGACCTATTCCGGGAGAAAACTGGTCGAGAGCTGTTTCTGCATCACAGGTCCCCATGCCAAGCAACAAAGCATCCCGGATGGGTAATACAGATGCACGCACTGGTTTACAAATAGTCGTGCAATGTACGAATGCGGAGTAATGACCAGCACGTCACATAGGTGACACAGAGTTGTAAAGTGGCAAGCATGCATCGAACCAAATGTGACCAGACAATTATCACGGCTGCAGGCGAGATGACCTACACCGCGCGAAAGCTGGTCGATAGCTGTCTGCATCACAGGTCCCCATGCCAAGCGATCAGGCAAACTCGGATGGGTAATACTGATGCAGGATTAATTCTTCCCTCCGATTCTATCCGCCACAACTATGCCTGTTGTTTATCACGACGACGGCGGTGCCATGCAGAGTCTCCATATCACGACTACTTTTGCGATGTCTGTTGCTTTGTAGTTGTGGCTATTGGCAGTATCTTATGGACCTTAAACCCTAAACGTCAACCCTAAACCGTAAACCCTAAACCGTGTAATTTCCTGGCAGCTGTTGGTCGGATTAGGCTGATTAGGCCTTGGCTTCATTCCGAAACCCTCAACCCTGCACCCTAACCCCTCGGGCCCAGACCCTTTAAAGGAACGCCCCTAAGCCCTTGATATCCCTTATAACTCGTACTTTTACAGGGGCCTGAATACTTCCATTCTGCTCAAATCCCTGGCCTGGCTTCGGAGCCCCCATCAGTTCTCAGGCTGGCGCAGTGCTCGCAATGCCGACCGCACATAGCAGTCGCGCCAACGTAGTCCTGAACCGTTTTTTAGGGTTTCAGGTTTAGGGGAAGCAGCCTTAAGACCTCGATCTCAAACTCAGGGTTAGGACTCCAAACCCTCGAGCGTACGGGCAGTACGGGGACGTCGCTTCCTGAACCAAAGACCCTAACAGACTCCGGGGGCCTTCGGGGCCCTCTCAACCTCCTGGGTTTAGGGTTCTGGGTTTTGGGGTTTAGCGATTTGGCTTAGGGTTTAGGGTTCAAAGCTTCGGGCTTGGGGTTTGCAACAACTCGCAGCAAACCCCCCTAGGGAACCCCATGCATCCTCTTTTCTGCTATAAACCCTAAACCCTAAACCCTAGACTGTATAGGTCGGCCGTGGGGCCTCGTCTCCCTGCGGGGCCCCGAACTTCAGGGAGATGCTCGAACAGCTCGGACACCTCCATGCAAGTCGAGGGTCGGGTTTTAGGGTTTAGGGTTTAGGGTTTGGGGTTTGGGGTTCAGAGTCTAGGGCTTAGGTTTTAGGGCTCAGGGTATGGAGTGTAGGATGGGGGGTTAGCCGTGCAAACCTAAGCGTAGTGAGCGACATATGAATGGCAACACTCCACAATATCACAGGCAGCATCATCGCCACCATCAACATCACGGCCAACATAATCATCCATCACCCTCATCATCCCCATCATCATCACCATCATCATCACCATCACCATCATCATCATCATCGTCATCACCATCATCGTCATCATCATCATCATCATAATCATCATCATCGCCATCATCACCGTCATCATCATCATCATCACCGTCGTCGTCAACAGCATCACTGCCACACTGCTAGGAACATCATCACCATCAGAAACATCCTCATCATTGTCATAAATGCTCTGATCACTGCTTTGTGCCAGCCCGTTTTTGGTCGTTGCTCTTGTACTCAGCCAACACTACATGTATTTGGTTCCACCAAGGCGGCTGCTACAACTTACTACTACAACCTGTCGGTGGGGTCCAGTTTCAGGGTTGTCTTTTAGGGTCTGCCTTACACGAGGCTCCCCGAACCAAGCAAAACTAAATCCTCAACCCTGCACCAAAATCCTCAAAACCACAAGCCCTTAACCTCATAAACCTTCACGCACACACCCTAAACCCTTTGCTGCCTGAACCCACGGCAGGGGTCGCAAGGATCACTGCAGCGAGGGCAGCGGCAAATAAAATGCTTGGAGTCCTCTGCAATCTTTGGGTTTCAGGTTTCATTAAAGGATAAAGATCTAGGGTTGAGGGTGTTATGACGCAGCCTCAGGGGTCTTCGTAAGGGATTCTGCGACTCTGTGTTTGTTGGTGAGATGGCTACGAGCTTAAGGAATAGGGCTCTAGGATTTCTCTCTGGTGTTGAGCTTTGAAGCACCCCAGGACCAGGGTGAGTCATGTATACTCCTGCTAAAATCGCGAGGCGGAGGGACACGGTGGTGAGGGACTTCGAGGTGCTCGGCTTTGGTCCTTGAAGGCTGCGGCCTGAGCATTCGGCTGACAGTGTGACCGAAGGTGAGGCGCAATGCACGCTGCTGCAAAGAATGCCCCACTAGAATGTATCATAATCTAGTCTAAAAATATTCACAACCTCACATACAATACACTCTAAAATAGCCACAATACAATCGAATCAAACCTGACCTAATAGCTTTCGGTGGGCCTCCCTGGGCCTGGGCTTTCGGGATCTCGGGAGTGCTGCTTGGTGCTATATGTCTTACGGGCTTAGGGCTTAGGGCTTAGGG